TTTGGGCCACACACCGCTGCTGGTGCAAATAAAACTAAAACACAGGCACGTCTTTCTGGAGCTTAGAGTCTACTGGATAGGGCATGTTGCTACAATACAAAAAACTGCCATCATTGAGGTAGGCCCGGGGAGGGGTGTACACTGCTCATGTGCCACAGAGGGTTGGGGTGGCGACTGCCAGCAAGGCCTTTTTGAACCTGAGTCTTGAAAAGGAGAAATCAGCCAGACACTGAACACAGGAGGAAGGGAATTCCAGGCAGAAGTACAGAAGAAACAAAGGCAGAAAAGCACTGGGCAGTACCAGTGGAGTTTACAGGAGGTGCAGTTTTGCAAGAAAAGAATGTTTCAGGCAGAGGGCAAGGCAGGGAGATGGGAAGGGAGTGAAGAAAGCTTTGACGCTGTCGGGTCATTACAAATGGCCAGCAGCCTGGTGAGCCCATGGAGCACTGTGGAAAGTTCCCTGGCTGCATGCTGACAGGAACTGAGTTCTGGGTCAGGACCCTAAGGCATCTAAATGACCTTGGGAACACACTGTATGACTCTGGGTACCACATGTAAAACAAGGTTCCCCATGTTCCAAGGCTTGGGGACTCCCTGGGATGGCCTGTGCCTCCATATTTACAGACTCCCCACTGCTGTTTGGGATGTAGAATCGACGCTGCCCTATCTCCACCCAGGGGGGCTGCAAGGAAGTGGGGCAGTAGTCAGGTTTGTAGAAATGGTTTATAAACAGTAGGGACTGCCATCAACACTAGAACTCTGTATTAATTACCTTACAGAAGCTCAAAAGCATCTTCAGAAACTCAGGTACAACACTGTATAAAGATAGCGGAGAGCTCATCTTTTAATCTGAGATACCCAACTTGTGATATGACGCGGCCACTTCTTTCGAGTCAGGGGTTTAAGCCCAGATCAAGAGAGAGCCATCGAGTTTTATTAGGAGGGACCCAAGAAGACTTGGATTTGGGGCAGCAGGAGGAAAGTCACACCAGCAACAACATGGAAGAGAGTTAGAAGGGATGCAACAGGAGGTGCACGACACTGTGCAGTAAGCACTAGGCATTCCCAGGCCATCGATGGTCATCTCAGCCTAGGGTCTCTAGCTCTGAAGCCCATGGGAGTCAGAACACCACTATAAGCAAAGGTCATAGGTCCAGGGGAACCAGAAAACAACTGACCTCCAGTGTAGACAGGCACTGGAAAGCCAGCAGCAGCTGAGTGTTGCCACGTGGAAATGTAAGCATCCTATTCCAGGTTTGGTTTGTTTTGTTTTGTTTTGTTTTTGAGATAGAGTCTCACTCTGTCACCCAGGCTGGAGTACAGTGGCGCCATCTCAGCTCACTGCAACCTCTGCCTCCTGGGTTCAAGTGATTCTCCTGCCTCAGCCTCCCAAGTAGCTGGAATTACAGGCACACACCACCACGCCCAGCTAATTTTTGTATTTTTAGTAGAGACGTGGTTTCACCATGTTGACCAGGCTGGTCTTGAACTCCTGACCTCAAGTGATCCGCCTGCTTCAGCCTCCCACAGTGCTGGGATTACAGGTGTGAACCGCTGAACTCTGCGTATTCCAGGTCTTCTAGCTTTTAAGAGAAGCTATACACCCAAGTGGTATCTCCAGATGTCTAAATATTAACTCAAGTTTTCTATACTTTGTTCAGGCCAACAACACCACTGCCTACTGCTAGAAGTGGCACACCGGCCACCATTTTGCCACTTTTGGACTCTAAAGCAAGGCAAGGCCAGCGTGACTAGAGCAGATCTTTGTGGGATTTCACAGCATAGAGAAGCAACAGGATCTGGTGACGGCCTGGATGTGGGCAGTGCAGGAACCCAGCATCACCGTGAGGCTCCTGCTCCAACACCTCCATGAATGGTGGCACCACTGCCAAAAAAAACACGGACAAATCTTGGCTAATGATGAAGCAAATATGGGGTGGGTGGTGAAAACGAAAATCAATTTTGGATTTACTGTGGGGCGTTTTTTTGGTCTAAAGGGCATGAGTAAGCGCACCAGACTGCAGGTAACTGTTTGGAACACAGGAGCATGCTCAAGCCAGCTTACATGCCACTCTAGGACTCACTTCATATTGGTGACAGTTGAAGCTGTGGGAACATGGTTCACCCAAATACACAGGGCATAAGAGGGATGACAGCGAACCCTGGGTAACCTCAAGACGTAGCAGAGATGCCAGGGAGGAAGAAGGAAAACCAGAAGGTGGCAACCAGGGGTGAAAAAAAAAAAAACCCATCAGAAAGGAATGGAAGAACCTCATCAAATGCCATGGAGAAGCCTAGTGGGTATCCATAAGATTGCTTGTTCAGACGAGAACACATGGACACAGAGAGGGAAATATCACACACCGAGGCCTATGGCCAGGGCAGGGGGGTGTTGGGGAGGGATAACATTAGGAGAAATACCTAACGTGACAGGTTGATGGGTGCAGCAAACCACCATGGCACATGTATACCTATGTAACAAACCTGCACATTCTGCACATGTACCCCAGAGCTTAAAGTATAATAATAAAAATTAAAAAAAAAAAAAAGATTGCTTGTTCAGGAAGTCACGGGCCTTGAACTTTGAGGAGACTCTGGCTGGCTTGCAAATTGCTGAACGGGAAGGGGAGACCAGTTTAAGAAGCCTGGAGAGACGTGGTGGTCATTACAGGTGAGCTGAGGATGCAGGGACAAGGGAGGTTAAGGCATTCTTAAAATACTACTAAAAAAGAAAAAAGCTCATAGGGAGAGACTGAAGATAAAAGTAAGAAAAGGGAGTAACACTCACAAAGAGAGAGAGGCATTGCGAGTTGGGATTCAGGACACAGCTGGAGACATCAGTCACTGCCCCAAGGATGTCATCTCTCTAAATTTCTCTAAGTTCTCAGTCTAACTTGATTTTTCTTTATAATTCTACCCTATTCATTTATCATACATTTACAATATATTGTGTTTGCTTTTAGTTGGTTTTCTCCCAAAAGAATGACAGTTTCAAGCGAGCAAGGATCTGCTCTATTTACCACCTATGAGTATCCAGCAAAGTACCAAGACACAGTAGAAGCTTAAGAAGATTTATTGGATGACTGGGTAAACACAGAAAAGTCTGTACAGGGGAGATGGGGGAGGACATGAGGAGACCCTTCTGACCTCTATTTTCTTGGTAGAATGGGCTACAAAGTCATCGACCAAACTCGCAGAAGGAAAAGGATTGGAGATCGATGCATTGAAGATTACAGTGGGAGTCCGGTTTGCAACCCAGAAGGAAAGAGCCTGCGGGATGGAGGCACTAAGAGTTTTCAGAAGTTGAGCATCTCAGAGAGGGCAAGACTTGGAGGTACTTAGAGGACTTCGTAGCTGGAGTACATGGAAGACACTGGATTTGAGACAGTCAAGGAAGTGCACATCTAGAGCATCCCCCGCATGGACTTTAGGTCTAGAGGTGGAGAAATAGCCCAAGAGCCAGAGTCCCCATGCAATGGGAAAGGAACTGGCTGGAAGAGGACCGCAAGGCGGAGATGCACCCAGTGACGTGGCCAGGTCACCACCTCATTTCCAACTCTACCACCTCAAACAATCTCTCACTGGTATTTAATCACCCTTGTGTGGAAGTGAAAATTAATTTCTTTTGAAGACAGTAATTTTAAAATTAAACTAACATGCAGTTCATGGGACACAGAAATTTTCTGCATAGATTCATTTTTGTTTTAGAATAAAACATGATGACATTTTCATGACCTTCAGTAATTGCCCTGCATGGTACAATATTTTCAAACATTATTTTAACAAAGAATCAAAATTTGGGGATTAATCTAAGAAACCTTAGATTACTTAGGTTAGTACCTTCATTTGCATAGCCAAAATTTTTTCTATTGAAATACTGCAAATAGCAAAGAGTTACTGATTTAGACCTTCAGATAGTGTTGAAACTGCCTTCAATTTTTGAAGTGTGGTTTAGGATATACAAATTAGCAATGTAGACATTTCTTCCAGTTATCTGTGCTCAAGTTCTGATATAAAATCTTCAAAGTACACAATTATCACATATATTGTTCCACAACAGTTCAGACAAGTAAACGGCTTCTTGGCTTGAAAGGGGAAGTCTCACACCTTCGAACACCTTTTCACGCTGATGCTAAATATAAGAGTGTCCCCTGCAAACTAGTCAAAGCAAGAGAGCAGCATTCGAGATTTCTCCAGACACACACACACAAAGAATGTGTTTCGTTCATTAAAACACTAAAACCTTCAATAGCATCTTCCATAATACCTGAAGGTGGAGTGCTGTCTTATGTAATAGAAGCCTTCCTTCGCCGCTCAGTTTGTGGACACATTAAATGCCTAATTCCTTCCAGAATTTCTGAGTACCGTACTTTCACTTTACCTGCAGTCACTCATCCGCCTCGCAACTCCCGTTTCTACAGATGATGAAAATAGCAAAGACCTGCTCGCTCGGGTTAAATCGGCTGCAAGAGGCCAAGTTAAAGGCTTTCCCCACACCACGCGTCACCTCCCCCTGCACAGGCAGAGGTAACAAGTAAGAGTGCGCCAGTCTCTCCCCATCCGGCGGCGCGCAGCCTAAGTCCGGGGTAGGGGGACGCCGGCAAGCAGCTGGAAACCTCAGGTTCAGGGTCAGGGCCGGCTTGGATGGGCGAGCAGGAGCCACGCCGGCCCCGGGGCTCCCCACTGCGGGTACCTCTGGATGCCACTCCGGGGCGGCCCCGCCTTGCCCTGCCCGGGTCCCGCTCGGAGCTCCCCGCGGGCGGGACCGGGATGCCCGGCGCGCACCCAGCCCCGGCCAAGGCGGCCCGCGGGAGGCTGAGAAAGTTCACTCCTCCCCGACGTCGGCACCCCCGGGTGCCGCTGGCCCCGCAGGCCCGGCAGCTTCCCGGCCGGGCGCAAGGTCGGGGCGCGGGGCCGGCGGCGCGCGGAGCCCCGGGGAGCGTCCCCAGCCGAGGGCAGCGCCGGCCGCGCCCGGGAGTCACGGCGCAGCCTGTACTCACCGCGCTCGCTGGATCCCCAGGGGGCGGCCGCGGAGGGCGGTGCGGCCGCAACTAGAGCGGGAGCTTGGTCTCGGCGGCGCGGGGAGTCAGAGGACGGAGCGAAGCGGCGACGAGGAGGGTCACAGCCGGAAAGAGGCAGCGGTGGCGCCTGCAGACGCCGCGCAGCCCGGGCAGCCCCACAGCGCGAGCTGGCTGCCGCGGCGGCGGGGGCTTTATCGGCGGCGCCGCGCGGGCCCCCGCCCCTTCCTGCCGCCCCCGCCCCCGGCCCGCCTCGCCCCGCCTTCCCGCCGCCTCCTTTGTGTGGCCGCGGGCCTCAGCTTCCCCGCGCCCGGCCTCCGGGACGCCCCCTCTCCGCCCGCGACCTCTCGGATGCCGCTCCCGGAGGGGTCCCTGTCGCGGGGCTGCGCTCGGAACGCGCCGGGGAGACGCGCAGACCCCGAGGTGCAGCGCCAGCCCGGGCCTGGCTGCACGTGGGTCTCCCGGATGGGGGTGTGTGAGGTGGCGGGGGCGGGGGCATACCGGGGCTCGTACCGCGTCCCTGAGACCCAGGGCATGTAGTCTTGGCTGCCCCCTGGAAGAGACAGAGGGCGCCCTGAGACAGTGCTCACTCCTCCGGGTGATGGGGAAAACGGTGCCAGGACGCGGCCGGGAAGGGGCAGATAACCCCTCGAGGCGTTTTGCAGGGTGTCCTAGAGCTGACTTCTCCCTGCCTAGAGGACAGAGGAGCGGCGGCAGGTCGCCTTAGGCAAATACAGACGAAGGGATCCAGAAAACTGGATTCCTGGCTATGGTGACAGTATGAGGTACCCGCAGCGTCCTGGGAATTCAGCCCTTCTCAGCCAGTAACCACGGCTGCTGGGACCCGGTGCGTGGTAGACAGGCGCATACCCCAGGGGCCTGCAACAAATGACCGTCCCGCTCCGGGCTCTGTTACCTGGATCTCTCTTAGTTGGTTCCTCCTTTGGGTCTAGTTAGGTTTCTGGGGACCCAAGGACCCAACTTTAATGACAATAATTTATGTTGCCATTAGTGTAGAATCCTCGCTAGCTGGCAGACGGCCCCAACAGCGAGGAAGAAATGTAAATGTCCCTATACACAGCCCTTAATTAAGGGTACAGCTACTGATGAGAGTCACTTGAAAGATCAGCCTGCAGTCACCCCTTGGCATGTAGGTGACCGTGCTAGAGTGTGCACTTGTGTGTTGGGGAAGGGGTTGCTCTTAAAGTGTAAAATCTGGACCAGCTTAACAGTGTTCTCAGTCTGTCATAGAGGGAAATAGGTTATGGGAGGCTTGGTCCTAAAATAAGGAGCAAATATTCTACAAAATGAGCATGTTTAATCATTTTACTGTCATACCAAATATTTATATTCAGTTACAGGGCATGGTATACATCCTTCTTGTTCTCTGTGCCTGAAATGCTTTTTGTCCCAGAATCTTCTATGTCTGTCTGCATCCTTACACTTTAGATCACAACTCAAATGTCCTCTCCCCTAGGAAGCCTTCCCTGGCCACTTGAGATAAAGTCACTTTATCCCCTCTAACCTATGACTTCCTTCATGGCCCTCATCATGAATTGATTTTTTTTTTTTTTTTTTTTTTTTACACCTTATTTCTTGCTAGTTTTCTTCTACTCTCTTTCATTGGAATGTACTCCCAGAGACCAGGGAAGAGAAACTAATTTCAATATTGTTTCCAACTCACTCTATCCCTATTGCCTAGAGCCATACCACACTTATAGCAGTTACTCAGTAAATTTTGTTGACGAGTGGATAAACTACTAGCCAAGTGACGTTTAGACATGCTAAGAACTGTTCCAGTGACAGTGTTGTGCTTGGTCCCCTCAGGGCGGGGTGGGCTGGAGCTGGAAACAATTCAAAGGAGGGGGAAAGCCCGCAGGTGTGAATGAGCTTGCTCAGTGTGGTTGAAAAGCTGGGAGTATCCTCTTCCAGATGGAAGGGAGTCATTCAAGAAACTACTGGAGAAATAACTGGAAATGTGGGCGAAGTCAGATTATTATGAAAATGTGTCAGAATCCCTGCATCCATGTCTGTCTCAATCACCTTTCTAAATTAAAATTTGTAATAGAGATCATTGTAGGCTGGCAGGCAGTTGTTAAGAAATGATTCAGAGAGGTCTCTTTTACACTTTGCCAAGTCTTCCTCAATGGTAACATTTTGCAAAACCATTGTTTAATATCACAATCAGGATATTAACATTGATACATTGATTCCTATCTCACACACTTTGGTTAATTATGTGTAACTTTAAATTTTTAGTAAAGTTACTCAAAAGTTAAACCAGTGAGAGAAATGCACAAAATAGCTATTTTGAAGAGTTTCAGTCTCTTGTCTTGAAGGAGCCAATGTTTTTCAAAAAACAAACAAACAAACAAACAAAAAACCTTTTTTGTTTCTTTCAATTAGAGTATAAATAGGGTCCAAATTCTTCATCTATGAAAGAGATTGGAAGTCCTTGGGACTTACCTCTTTGGGTTACATTTTAATGGCTGACATTCACTTCCTTTTCTTTCCTGTGTTGTCGAAGGAACATTTTGAGCAATACTGTACATGACTTGTCAATTCCGAAATCAGACAGGATGCAGTGCTAACTAATATGCTAAACTAAGCCTAGCCACTAATGTTCCTTTCTCTCTCGCTAGACATGCGATGAGGCCGACCATGAGGTCTCCCAAAGGAAAGTGATTCAAGACAAAGACCCATTCTGCCAGTGGGATATGCTGGGAATACCAACTATACTTGTTACTGAGTGTGCATGACTGGTGTTGGCCAACCTTGCTGATGCCGGCAAGAGGAAACGGAAGTAATAACCCAAACTACACTTTCCATGACACTCAAATGGCCAGGCTCTTTGACACCCACCATGAGGGGCTGTTCCAAAGATGTTGTGTTCCTACCTCAGTTGGTCCCCACAAGCAGCAGGTTCCTCCTCCAGTACTCTCCAATATTTGACCCTTTTTGAGATGCGTTTCTCATAGATGTGTACTTCCCATCGACATTTCCTTCCTACCTCTACTTCAGTTTTGTTTGAGAAATCCAAATCATTTAACACTTCTACCTGGCTATTTCTTTGCAACTTCACATTCACAGCGGAATTTCATTTTGTCCTGCAATTGTGTGGCTTGCCTTAATCTGCAAATAGAGCTTCAGATTGTTTATTCCTTTGACCTGGAGTTTAGCCAGCTCCAGCCAGGCTCTGAGTTTGGCTTTGTGTCCATAAGCCACAGTTGGGAGAAACGCAAGAAATGCCCAAACAGAATAAAACAAATGATCTATTTAGTCTTGTTTCCTCTCTTGGAAGAAGTCCAGTGTTGAGTGCCTTGGAATAAATGAAAATCCCCCACCCCACCTCCACTGCTGTCCCATGCACCCAAACAGTATGACCTTGTGTTTAAGTAAAAACTGTCCTTAGCTCTCAGTGGGATGATGGTGTTTTGTCTGGAAGACTGACGGATGTTATGATAATAAGATAATGGATACTCACTTCTCTCCTATTTAACCCCTATTTAAAAGACATTACACCGTAACAGTGCTTGTTACACAATATTATAGTTGCAAATGTTGTTATGGAAGATTGTTTCAACCAGGGGAAAAGAGACTGGTAATAGCAGTACACTTATACAATTAGTTTCTGAAACTGTTGCATTGCTGTGGGTTTTTTTTTTTTTTTGGCTTAGAAAAGGCATTTGTCTTTTTATTTCCCTTTAAAGTTGGCTTTCTAATAAATTCAATTTCCTCTTTCTGTAACTTCTGAAACAGATTAAACCAGAGCATCAATTTGCACTTTGCTATTGTCGTCACTAGTTTTCACCAAGAGCTTCAGAGAAAAGATAGTTAAGTGCTGGGCTGGGTATTAATTTCCGTTTTCTTTTCTTTTCTTTTCTTTTCTTTTTTCTTTTTTTTTTTTGAGACAGAGTCTCACTCTGTTGCCCAGGCTGGAGTGCAGTGGCACGATCTTGGCTCACTGCAAGCTCCGTCTCCCAGGTTCATGCCATTCTCCTGCCTCAGCCTGTAGCTGGAACTACAGACGCCCACCAGCACGCCTGGCTAATTTTTTGTATTTTTAGTAGAGACGGGGTTTCACCGTGTTAGCTAGGATGGTCTTGATCTCCTGACCTCGTGATCCGCCTGCCTTGGCCTCCCAAAGTGCTGGGATTACAGGCGTGAGCCACCACGCCTGGTCCTGGACTGGGTATTATTTTCTACTAATATGTGACCAAATAGGATGTAACAGCCAGGTTCTGAGAGTCGTTGTGATATTGACCCCTTCAAACAACAACCCCGCTACTCTCCTTCCTTTTACCACCAAACAATAGATGCTGCCTTCTTATTTCCGTGGGTCTCTTCCGTGTATCTTCTTACCCCGTCATTGGGCTCCCCTCCTTTTCTCCCTCACTTCCTTGGGCCCTCCTTCTCTCCCAAAGGTTACCAGTAGTTTCCAATGGCAAACTTGGAAGCTATTTCTCAAAACTTCCAGTAGTTTTTCAACATTCTTTATCACCTTTGAGTCCTTGGCAGGATTTCACCCTCATGTGTGTGCCCATTTTTTGGAAACTCCTTTGCCTATTTTCTCTCTTCCAATGCCTTAACTTGCCTTTTTCCTTTTTTCATCAAATCTTCCAACAGGTGGGCACCATGCAGTTGACTGTCCACAGCTCCCTCCTCTTTTCTCCACACTCTCTCCTAATGGAATGAACATTGATTTATCTGTGGCCACCAACACCTGTTCCCCTCCTCACCTTTTGATAGTGGAAACACCTCTCCTATTTTATGCAGCATTTTATTGGGAAGGAAATCAAGGTATCCTTACTTTCACTAGCCAAGGGATGGGCATATGATCAGGCTCACTGGATTCCCTCCCAGTTCTTTGAATCTTGAAAAGAATGAAAAAGTAGTTGCAGCTGACTCGTTTCAGCTTGATGAATGATGAATTCGTGAGTTCTTCCTATGTGGACCTCAGAGCTGCCCTAGACCCTGTCCTGTCTGAGCAGAGGTCCACAGTGAAGTCTGTTTCTGTGAGAGTTTTCTACTTGTTAACCAGATTCAGTTTCTGTTGCTAGCAACCTAGGACGCCTAACTGACGTATCTTAAATGTATGTAACTTTGCTTAGTTCTGGATGAATTCTAAGCCTGTATCTACAGATGGCCTTGGCCGCCATCCCAAGGTACCACTCATCTATCTCCAAGTGCCTGGCAGACACCTCCACTTAATATCCCACCATCACTTCCCACCTAACAAGTCAAACCCACTTATTATCTTCATCCCCAAACCAGTTCTTCCTCCTGTGTTCCGTGTGTTTTACAGACATGACTTCCATCTCAGTCACCAAAGCACAAAGATGGGAATGAATTGTGACTTTCTTTCTCTCTCTTTTTCTTTTCTTTTCTTTCTTTCTTTCTTTCTTTCTTTCTTTCTTTCTTTCTTTCTTTCTTTCTTTCTTTCTTTCTTTGAGCCTATGAGAAAAGATAGTTGTAGTTAAGTAGA